ATACACTAACTCCACGAAACTCACAAACATGCACTTCTGCTGCTTCCTACCTCTAGGGAACCACCAGAAAACAACGACTGTTTGCCTTGTACCCTTGCTCTCATTTTTACAAACCATCCCACTTTTTTCAATCTCCTTCAATCAAAGCTCGTCATACGTATCCCCATCTTTTCATTCAGATAACAAACAACAATTTTTACCTACAATTATAAATTTCCTAAAAACTATTAACATGCTAATCGGTTTCTACAAATTCTTAAGAAATAACGGAGAAATATTTTTTATAAATATTCATTCTATTGTCTTATCCACTGTACAAGTCCATTTAGAAAACCCGCTCGCATTGTTCATGGTTTCACTAATTGCACTCATGTCACTCAAATATATTTTACAAAAGAAATAATTTATGCAAATCTGTCAAATTTTGTTTACAGTTTATTAGTAGAATTATTTGAATTATTATATTTTGTACTTTGAAATATATTAAAGCAAACCAATATTATTTTCAATTTTACATAGCATAACAATATATATATATATATATATATATATATATAATATATATATATATATATATATATATATAGGTATATATATATATATATATATATATATATATATATATATATTATATATATATATATATATGTATATATATATAATATATAAAAATAAATATATAATATTATATAATAAATATTTATTAATTGTCCTTTAAGGTGTACAGTTTATCATATTATTTTATTAATAATTTAAAATATAAATACCCATCTTAAAATAAATTTAAAATATAAAATAAAATAAATTAATATTTCTTACTTACCTCAACTTAAACTTATGCAACTTACACTACTTTGACATGGTCATCGTTGCATATACACAGTTTTGTATTAATTGTTTTTAATTAAATACTTGATTACAGCTATATAATTATTAAATTGATTCATAGAATCTGTATTATTTGCAGCTCCAAGTGTATGAACCTTGGACTGTTGGAAGTTGTAATCAATCTTCACCTGTGACTGATTATTCAGCCACAACGTTGATGATTCATGAGTTTTGGACTGACCTCACTTGTTTGTTCATTTTTTCTTAACCGCTCACTGAGGGGAAATTGGTGTTTTTAACAACATTTTTCTTTTATTGTTTTGGTTTCTTACAAGCAGGTTATCACCCAAACTCATCTTACTCTTTAAATATACCGCTCTATTATAAGAGTTGGTATCTCACCTTGCTGTTCTGTCATAATTTTATGACCTCAAGGTTACTGTCTTTTCACGTTGTTTGGCGCCTTTGTTCTTATCTAACGCCGTTTTACCGGCGGCAGTCTAGAAGCCTGGAGAGGTAGTTTCAATATACATTACATTATTAACTTTCAGTATTAATCACTTTAATAATGCTACCTAAAGTTTAAATTAAATCATAACTATTGATATATTGTTGGAAGTGCATCTTTGATTTTCTTAGTTCTTCATTCTCATGTTAATGTTTTTTTACTTATACATGTATAATAGACCATATGTTCTTTGGCTGTGCTAAGTTTGAACAAATTTTTAATTGTAGTTAGTTCAATTTATTGTTTATATATCATAATCTGCGTTTATATATCATAGACTGCTAGATATCTTTTTAAGGTAACACATGTAACAACTTTTCATGCTTGTTGCTTGTGTGATTTTTTTGATATTGTTCTGTTTAGATGAACTGATGATGCTTTCTGATTAAGAAAGCGAAACGTCTTCAATAAATAGATGAAGTAGCCATCATCTTTGTCTTTTTTCTCCACCTTTTGACCGAAAAAAACCCACCACTCATCTGATCTGAGTGATCCTTAATATATATATATATATATATATATTATATATATATATATATATATATATATATATATATATATATATATATATATGTATATATATATATATATATATATATATATATATATGTATATATATATATATATATATATATATATATATATATACATTTAGCCTTCTTCGGTCCATCTTTGGACATAGGCCTTCCCAATCCTTTTCCATTCTTCTCTGTCTGTCGCTACAGTCATCCACCTAGAACCCACGTGATTCTTGATATCATCTGCCCATCTCATTTGGGGCCTTCCTCTGCTTCGTTTATATTCCCACGGTCTCCAACTTATACGAATTTTGTTCCATCGGTCTTCTTTTTGTCTTATATTGTGTCCGGCAAATCTGCATTTCAATTTTGTAACTTCTTGTCTAACATCGCTCACTTTTGTTTTCTCTCTTATCCACTCGTTTCTATCTTTATCCATTAGTCTTATGTGCAACATTTTTCTTTCCATTGCTCTTTGGGTTTTTATGATTTTGTCCATCTTTGCTTTTGTAAATGTCCACGTTTGGGAACCATAAGTAAGAACAGGGAGTACGCATTGATTGTATACTTTGGTCTTGAGATGCTGTGGATATCTTTTGTTTTTAAGATTGTAGCTTAGTTTGCCAAATGCCGCCCATGTCAGTCTAAGTCGTCTCTTTATCTCTGCTGTTTGGTTATCTTTGTTAGGTTTTATGGTTTGAACAAGATATAATATATAATCCTGAACCTGTTCTATTTCATCTTGTCCGATTCTCATTGTGATGTCTTCATCTGTATTTGTTATGGTTTTGGTCTTGCTGTAATTCATATTAAGGCCTATCTTTCCAGCTTCTACGTCCAGTTCTTTTATCATTATATATATATATATATATATATATATATATATATTATATATATATATATATATATATATATATATATATATATATATATATATATATACTCGTATATACGCTTCCAAAATATTGATTGACAAAAAAGGTTTTGCTTGTGTATGTATTTAACATGATACAACTGATAAATATAAAAATTATTATCTTAAAACTTTTTGGTATGTTTAAAACTAATAATTACAAACAGAAAAGACGAAAAAACAAAAATATTGAGTGAAATTTTGATACCAAAATCAGCAAAAAGTTGTATTGACACGTTCAATTATATAGTGTTTTTAAAGCTTTAAATACATTATTTTTACCTCTCAGTCTTTTAACAAAAGGAACGTTTTCGGTAATTATAAGTTGCTCACCACCCTCCCCACACACAGCACTCGAAATCCCCAATTAACCTAACGACCACCTTCTTTTCGGCGGATATTCAAAAAACAAAGTGTTCCCCAAATCGGTCACAAGACACTTTAAGACGATGATCCGGCACTTTTAGTAAAACCCATACTTTTTTTCGTATTATTGATTTAGGTAAATTAAAAACCACTTTTACAAAATAACCGTTTTGGATACTAATACTCGATAGTGCTTAGTCATTATTCAAACTCGAAATTAGTTTAGAAAATTGGGTTTTGGCGTCTAAAAGTAAATGCCGTCTAGAAAAAAATTTCACAGTTGTCGATATGGTTTGTTAGTTGGATAAACGAGATGTTCATGCTTTAAGCAAGAGCTTTAATCTGTTTAGATTCCATTGTTTTGTTCGTAAAAAGTATTTAGTCTATAGATTGATTTAGATGGAATGATTTTACCGTTTGAAATGGTTTGATAGTCAACAGAATATCGAGAATTGAAGAACAGTGTGACCACAATAGAAGTTTAACAAATATAATAACTTCAAACACTATATAATAATTTCTCCTGATGAACGGATTTTGTTTCATGTTAATCTATAAAGGTGGTACTAAAAAAATATTAAGTGCGAATCAAAAGGAATAAATAGATACATAACTTTCTTAAGATAAGATTTCATAGCAAATTTAATAAGAAATTAAAGAAATACTTGTAAAAAAAGTTGAAAAGAAATACAAAGTAAAAAAGAAGGCAGAAGGTTCCTGAGCGGACGTGTTCGAACTCATCACTTTATAGCCCCCCATAAAATTATTTCCTCTGAGATAAGTATATATCTATACTTTATATACTATATATAATATATATCTAGTCATATATATATATATATATATACATATATATATATATATATATATATATATATATATATTATATATACATATACATAGTAAATCATCAGAATCTTTTCCTAACCTAAACTCATCACCGCAGATAAGTAAACTCATTACCAGCATTTTTGGCACAAGGCGCTGGTTTCTATTGCGGAAGTTTGCCTGTTACCTGTTACACTTCATGTTAACGTTAACCCGATTGCTTTAAAGTTTATGTGATACATTTATATCGGCTGTCTCACCACGAGTGGCCTACTAGACGTATCTGCCAGTCTAATCTTGTTTGAGATCTGAAAACTAAGTTCCATAGGTTTTCTGACAGTAAACTTTTTAATGAAAATATTTTTGAGCATCTGCTATTTCCGGATATATCGGAAATAGTCCTTAATTTGGATATTTTACTTGCAATGGGAATTGGATTATTCTTTAAAATTATCAAACCTTAGATATTTTTAAGCATTTTATGGTCTTTATCTACCACGGGTGCAGGTAGGACAGTTTTCAGTTTCCAAATCTCTCCGGGTCTATTTAAAAATCCTTGGTTTTATTGCGGTGATGAGTGCATTTATGATAACTGATCAATATTCTTGTACCCAACTGAACCAGGAAGCTCTATGGGCGTTACAAAGAACATTAACACAATAAACGAAAGCAATATACGCTGAACAGCTAACGACAACCTTACAATATTAAATAGGGTAAACAAAAGATGCAGAGGCTTCTTAATACAAATATTCGGCAGATTATAAATCACAAAAGTTGATGCTGTTACAATGGCATTGTTATAATTCTCGTTTTTGCGGCCACTTTTTGACTGCCAACCTATTATCAATGTATTCTTCTAACTTTAAATGTATGTACAAATGTGAGACGTTATGAACGTAGTGATCCTGCAGTGGGATCTTATATTATAATAATAATATCAAAATATGTCATAGTAATATCATAACAGGATTTGTATTTTACAATATGCAATTTACTTCAGTAGAATAATCTAATAGCAACATCTTTTTTGTTACAGGACGAAATGGAAACGACAAACAGCGGTTGGCCTAGAACTTTTAGCAGAAGCCGGCAATTATGCAGCTTTCCAAAGACTGTACGGTGCTCCCGCATACGGCTGCTGGTACCCTCCACAAACAGCCGGTCCCACCGCCGCTCCCAGCGCGGCGGACCTCTACTACAGACAAGCAGCAGCTGCCGCTGCTGCCACCTTACAAAAACCACTACCATACAGGCTCTATCCACCCACCATGGGACTAGGAATACCTGGACCAAGCGCACACATAGGTAAATAATTCATCTATATTTTCTTTATATCAATACCTTGTTTTTTACGTGGTTCACTTTTAATTGATGGTAAACTATAGTCAGAATATACTTATTCCCTCACAATAAAATCCCAAATCAAGAACTATTAAGATTAACTGTTAAAAAAACGTACACAGTATAATAAAGGGACGTAATTAGGGGACGTAAAATGTGATCAATTAGTGATACATTAGGAAAACAAACAAAACCTAATGTTCTATATTGAAAAGCTGCATGAAAAACAAAATAAGGAAGATAAACACCTACATAGACAAAAACAATAAGACATTGCATGAAATAAAGGAAAAAGATAACAAGGAACAGAAGAGAAAGAAACAATTTGCTTTGTTGCGATCTGCATATGATTTATGATGATAGGATGACAGCATATCTAATACTTCTAAACTCGTCAATCAGCACATAGGTACATTTAGTACATATATACCTAAATCAATATGCCATTCTCTTTGGATTAGACTGTTTCTTCTAATATTATATATTATATATATTCGAATGTCCAGAGCTTTTCTTCCTCTGTTATGACAGCTCCTATAACGTTTTCCTCATTGTTAGATGAAATTTTATTCATTTATTCAAACCAGATTAGTTTAAATTTTAAAAATTTTCGTCACTGGTTTATAAAATTACGTCGAATATTATCAGCTGTATCAAAAAAATGTCTTATCAATAATTTTCAAACGTAATATACTCTAGTTCATTTGTGTTTTTTGTGTAAAATGTAAATCTTTTGGCTCAAAACAGTCTGTTTTGTTTCAGGTTCTTTAGCAGCTAGTAGCTCGTTAAGTACACTTAGCAGTTACTATTCGAGCCCGACGCCGGAAGGACCTTCACCGAGATCTCCCAGTCCAGACACGCCGCTGGACCCGGGCTCTCCGGGTACGTTAGGCCGGAGGTCACCTTCGGAAGATGAAGATACGATTCATGTTTGAAGATGATCACGCAAAATTTAAATTGTGATATAACGTGTACTATAATAGCTGAACTCTTGTTAATTTATTTTTGGCGCTTTTCAGTGTTGTGTGGCTTCGCGATTGTAACATCTCTTAGTGAGAATTAAAAAAAAATGAATCCTTTAAGGAAATTAAACAAACAAGATCAAAAAAGGTCAATATGTGACATTAACCGGTCAGTGATAAGATGTTTTTTTTATTAATACATTAATGAATTTGGGTTGAAGTAATATTCACTAATAAATAGATACGTTGCATCAAAAAACTAGTATTATTACATAAATACTCGATTTATACTTGCAACAGTTATTAAAGTTTATTAATTTTTTCTTAGATGAAAGTGATCTTAAGTTCATCAATCGTTATTGTTTATTTACTACAGAATTTATTCAGATATTAGGAATTTTAATGAAGATGAGGCGTGAATATGTTGAGATGAACTTTGATAATTAAAAAAAACTTTGACTACTGATCACTAATAACACAAATTAATCTTTATTGACAGTTTTAGCAAAATTGTTGTCATTTAATGTGCAGTACGGGGTGTTAAATTCGCGGAGCTGTGTTGTGTAGAATCCTAAGCAGATTCTGAATGGACGAAATTTTGTAATTATTAGAGAAAATGTCGTCGTCTATTGTATAAAATGTTTTAATCAGTGGCCAGTGTAAATGAAGGAGAATGTTCAATATTACTCAGCATTGACTAATTAATTAAAATTTTTAATCCTATTTTTATTAAGCGGTGATTTTAATAACCGTAGAAACATTTAATATACCAATTACCATAAACGATTAATTTTAATGAAAAACTAGGTTTATTAATACAGCTGATTAATTTGATAAATGTTTCAAAGTATTTCCTTGGGAGCGTTCATGTTAATGAGTAATATATTACAAGTTTTTGTTTAATAGATAATAACTAATAACAATATTAACGTTATAAAATTATTTTCCTTTGTGCGATTTTCCTTTTTACTATATTTTTATATATAGAACTTTTTGTCTACAGCTGATATTACTTCTTTTAAGTTGTTATCAGAACTTATATCTACACTTGTAAGTTTGCGTAGCTATCTTTAAAAATAACATTTTGTTTCTTCGTTACAAGTATTATGCATTTTTTGCTTTTTCTGATATCAAATTTGTCAAGCATCCATCATCGACCATAATCAGCGACCACTTCTTCAACAAGCGTCCTACACATTCTCTTTACTTCTTCTTCTTAAGGTCTGTCTTCTTTCGAAGGCTGGCAATCATTATGATTATCATCTGGTTAGATGACCAACTAAACCTACGCTTTCCTAAAATCTTTTCGGCATGATATTCTGCACAAGCTGGTATTTTGTTCTTTCATTACATGGCCAAAGTATTGTAGATTTCGTATCTTATTTCATTATTTACTTCATTATTTCTTTTGAAAGTCTTCGCAAAACTTCTTAATTCGTGTCTCTTGTCTAAGATATTCTTAGGATTCTTCTGTAAAGCCACATCTAGAAAATATCTATTTTTTTTTATTATCACTTTAGTCAGAGTGGCTGCAAGCTTTATTGCAAAAAAATTGTTTCATTTTAATAAATGAGTTACGGGCAATTTCAATTCTCATTTATTATAGCTCCAAGATACTTATATACACGTCCGATATTTTAGCCATCAATAGTAAAATGGGCATTATTTGGTCTCGTCTCTGCTATTAACATCTGCTATGTACCATATGCATACCCAACAATATGTTATAACCTTTAAATTTATTAAAGCATTTTGAAAAAGATAGTATGCAACAACTGCCCTGTTTACAGAGCATCCACTGTGTCCTTAAAGTATGGGATTGTTTTCTAAAACATAGATATGTTTAAGAAATGTTGGAACACATAAATTTTAATTTTAGTTCTTTACAATTTATAAAAGAAGATTGTACACGATGATACACACTATTGTACACTCACGTCATCTTAAATTTTTTAAATGGTTCTGGTGGAATTTTAAATTATTTTTAAAATTTCTAATATACACGCCTAGAAAATAAATTGTTTATTATTTCTTTTAATTCTTTAATATTTTCTGGTTTAGTTTTGTAAACAATATTTTTTACATGTCAACACAAAAAATAATCGATAAGCCACGACTGGCCACTCAATGTATCCAACTGTTCAAATAATAAACTTTCATCAACGTTCAAGATGACTTATATTAGGGAATATATGTATTAAATTTGGTACCACATGCTTTCTTATATGGGCTGACCGTTCATATACGTTCATCATCAATGGCGCTACAACTCTTCGTGAGTACTTGCCATGTTTACTACTGCCTTCCATGTTTGTCGGTCCTGTGTCAGTAATTCCCATTGTCGCACTCCCATTTTCTCTAGATCTTATTTGACTGCATCTTTCCACCTTTTTCTAGGCCTTCTTCCATCTGGCCTTTCCCAGAACACATTGTTTATAAGGCGATTGTCGTTACTGCGTATCACATGCACTGTACATCTGAGTCTATTGGCCTTTATATATCTGACTAGATTTTCTTTTCCGAATAGAGACTCTAGCTCGTTATTGTATCTGCCCCTCCATTCGTTTGTCACGCTGTCTCTACAAGGGCCATATATCATTCGAAGAATTTTACTTTCCCACACCAGCAATTTATTTACTTCTCTTTTTGTTAGCGTCCATGTTTCGCTTCCATAAGCGACTGCTGGTCGTATTATGGTCTTATACATCCGGATTTTTGCACCTCGTGAAAGAAGTTTTGATTTATTAGATATTGCATTGCAAAGAAAGATCTGTTTTCTGCCATTATTCTCGTTTCAACTTCTCGTTCTAATTTGTTGTCATCTGTGATTGTTGCTTCTAGATATTTAAATTCTTTAACCACTTCCAAGTCGTGATCATTTATAGTAATGTTTTGACGTATTCGCCGTCGTTCTTGTTTTGAAACGATTATGTATTTTGTTTTGTCTTCATTTATTTTTAGACCGATGTTTAATGCAGCTTCTTCAAAACTGGAGAAAATATCCTTAATTTCTAATGTTAATTGTGCTACTTTGTCTACGTCATCGGCAAAGGCGAGTATGATTTTTGCTCCCCGAGCAGCTATGTCTGGTTTGATGTTTGGATATATTTTTCACATGACATATTCTAAGGCCAGGTTAAACAACAATGGCGACAACGGACCCATATACGTTGCCTTAAAAAAATAAGGTCCAATAATTTTATTTCTTATCATTTCAGCCTATAGGTTACCTTTTTAATATTAATGATAATGCTCACGCATTCATTGAGTATTTTCTTTTGCCCAATACGACCAATTCTGACGGATGACTTCGCCATGCAAAGTAAATATGCCGCGAGTTTTGGTAGCATTTATTGTTGCATAAAATTCTATTTGTCTATTTGAATCGTCATTGTTTAATTCTTGCACAAGTTTAATTTTAAAGGGATGCAATTTTTCTGCCAGTTTTTTCTGATAACACCAAGATCAATACTTATTTCAAAAGTAAGTAAAACATTTATCTTTGTACTGTCAGTTGCAGGGGGAACGACCTGTCTTTGGTGTATTTATGTACCTCAAAATTTATTTTCAATACAGTTAACTACGTTATGGGTCTTTCTGGATATTTATTATTAGATAAAGTACATATTTTAATCTGATCATCATAATTTGATTTTTCTACTTTACTTACTTACTTACTTACTTACTTAAATTCATTATTACTGAACTTGACAAAAAACTATCCTACTAGTTTTTACAGTAAATAAGAAATATTATTTTTATTATTTTGATGACCCATATTTTGCAAATTATTCTATTATCTATTACACCTTACGTATCGTACTTTCAGGGAATCAACTCGTTAAGAATAAATATAAACTCGTTAAAAAAAAGTAAAAGGCAGTAGCGCACCTAGAATTTTTCTCTGGGGCGGGAGTTTTGGTTGGGCACCGAAATTTTTTATGCACCCCCACCATTTTGTCCTTCAAATTTGTGAATAACAGTGTCGGAATAGGGTCCTGGGGGGGAGGTTAATCCCCAAAACCCCTCCTGGGTGCGCCGCTGGTAAAAGGGGAAAATCGCAGTATTGCATTTAAAAATGCACTGATAATATTACATAAGTGTGAATCACTCTGCGTAAAGTTTAATTTTAAAACTACAAAAAATTCAAATTAGAAATCAACATGTTTCAGGATTTTCTTGAAAATATTTGTGTTTTAAAAAATAATGAATTTATTTTATACGATACCACACCGTGTATACTGTAATTTATAGTAATAGATCGTTTATTAAAGTATCACAACATAAAATTAGAAATGATTGAAAAGTTTATTACGGTTTATGCTGTGTAGTAAAAGAACGTCCGATATGTATGTGTAGCCACAACTGTGTATTATAAACCCGTACGGAGTACGCGTACTAATTTGTAAATGGTTTTAAAATGATTGCACTTTTGTTGTAATCGGTACTTCTTTTCCTTTTCGTTTCTTTTGGCTCAATGAGTATGTTTATTCATGTTAAAATTAGAAAATAGAAAATAAAGGATTTTAAGTTTTTATTACCACTTCTTGTTTTATTGCGATTTCCTTCTCCATTTAGTACTGACTTTAACACAAAAGTTGATGAAGCTTTTAGTGGAAGCTGGATGAAGTACCCACTAGAAAGCTGTACCAATTTAAGACCGAACAAGAATTTAGCAAGTCGAAGGCATCAGGCAAGGAATGGAATCTACAAATTAATGGATAGAATTCAAACCATGGAAAATGGGAAAGAAAGTTTGCGGAGTGACTACAATAAGAAAAAGGAGAAAGGAGAATGTATATATATATATATATATATATATATTATATATATATATATATATATTATTGTGATATTTCAAGTCTTGGTGCGCCAAGCAATTAATTAGCTAATTAATTAATTGATTAATTAAAATTATTTAAATGATATGATTATGACTCTATCACACTTTTTAATTCTCTTATCTCAGGGTT